AACTGAAATTATGAAAATTACATTTGAGGAAATCTATACAGCTGTTGATTTTAGAGACTGAACTTTTTCAGCCAGCACACTAGATTGTGGGATTTCCTCTTTTCAAGAAATAAGTTGATGATCTTAGGCAGACAAACTAACCACAATAAAATATAAGTACGTGGAAGCTTACTGAGTTTGCTCAGACCATAGCATTATCCAAACTTGCTGGCGGGATGCCTTTAACAGCCTTAGAAAAAAGATAAACTGTTAAACAAATATTGACTATGTGTTCTGATTCTCACAGAAAACAAAACGGGTAATAGAAGCTCAGGGTGTCATGATTTTGACAGATTTACTGGTTGGATAAAAACATCTAGTGCCACATACTCTGAGAGCATAAAAATTAAAAAGCGATTTCTGTTGATGTCTTATGGATGAGAGGACATAAACAAAAATAAAAAAACCTTATTTTTCATCAAACACTTCTAGAGTCCTAAGGTTGGAAAAGAAAAGAGACATGAAACATTTGACTAAAATTAGCCATCTTTTAAGTTACAGTGCTTTCTCTTTTAAAAATCCACATTTTACTAATTTTTTAAAATATCATTTTGACCAAGCAGCTAATTTGATTATTTCCAAGCTATATTACACAGTGCCATATATAAAAAGCACAGGGGTGCCAGCAGTCATATTCCCCGCATTGGTTATTAACTATCAATGATTTAGACCATTTGTTATTTTTTTGTGTTCCAGTGTCAGTAAACCCAGTAAGAATGTGTATTTTCTTATATTAATCATGTCCTTTGGTCTGCATCAACCTTGAAGGAAGTAGATGAAACTGTTACCTATGTTAGGCATACTCAGCTATTTATATAGTTTGGGCTTATCAATTTAAGCTTCAAGGGGAATATCTTTGGTGCACCAACAATAGTAGGAAAATGCCACTATCATCTAGTGATAGAGCCTAGACCAGATGCCTAGGCTTGCTAGAGGTTTAAATGTCAAAATATTTAAGCATTTAAAAAGCCTGTCAGGTAAGGAACTTCAAAACCTGTCAAAACTATACTGCTAATGGCTCTGTAATAAAGCATGTCCCTGAGCACAAAGTGGAGGCAAGAAAGAATTAAGGGTTTTACAACTGCTAGGAAGGATGTTTTTATGGGGACACAAGCAGCAGTTATAAAAAGCATCTATCACATAGCATACAATTGGTCAAATAGAATTTGCCCCTTGTCATGGACTAAGTGTTTCCCTTCTCCCACCAAATTCATAAGTTGAAATCCTACCCCTCAATGTGATGGTATTAAAAGGTGGGGCCTTTGGGAGGTAACTAGGTCCTGAGGATGGAACACTTATGAATAGGATTAGTGCCCTCATAAAAGGGACCCCAGAGAGCTCTCTACCCATTCTGCCATGTGTGAATACAGGGAGAATACAAGGACCCACTAAAAGGTTCGCATTGGAGCCTGACCCTGCTTGGCCCTTTGGATCTCAGACTTCCAACCTCCAGAATCATGAGAAACGAATTTCTGTTGATTATATGCACCCAGTCTATGATACTCTGTTATAGCAGCCCAAATTGCCTAAAACACCTCTGATTTGAATATCAGACATCTAAGTCTTAATGTAATATGGCCAGGGTTAGTTCCTATTAACAAGGTGGCTATAAATGAATCCTGAGAATGGGCAAAAATTATTCATACATGCACTGAACATTTATCTTATGCCTACTTCATGTTAAGTACTTTACAGTATTTATAAAAAGACTCATGTCCTTTTGGACCAGACATATTGCAAATATGCCATCACTGCCAGTTTTGCATATTGAAGTTACAAGTATTTAAACAACCCTGCCAAATCTCTGAAGAGAAGATTTTTAGGCAGCTAAGAACCTAGGAAAATGAACAACAGTTAGAAACTTAACAGGATTACAAATAAATGGATACCAAAATTGAAGAAGAATGAGGAATTCCTGGAAACCAGCCATAGATTTGAAGCCAGAGAACTGAAAGATCAAACCATTCTTCTCTAAAAGGAGAGAGAAAAAAAGTAGAGTTGAAAGGTTACATAAAAGGAAAAAAATCATTCTTTCCAAAGAAAGTTAAATATATACGGGTGGAGAAAGCAAAGAATGATAAGGAAAAGTATGTGTGTCCTAAATTATTTTCCCTGTTGTCAATAAAATATCTAAAGTAAATTTCTGATTGATGTATATTACATAAATATGCGAAGGTATATTGGGGAAAGCTGGTTTAATACACACACGTTAGTTTGGGGGAGTATATCAGATTCACCTAAAGTGCTTTTTGGAGAAAAAATCCTTTCCATCCCATCCCCACTGGAGGAGGGAATAAGATCTGGAGGGAAAGGAGTTTTAATGCCGAAAAGTCTCCAATGATTCTGATTTACTCCTTAGAGTTTAGATCCACATGTTTAGTTAGTGATTTACCGAGTCTGTGAAAAGGTCAGAGCACATGTTTGAGAGAAAAACTCACTGCTGGAAGACTCTCCCACTCCTGTGGTGGGAGATGTTATCCAACTGAGGAGGGTCCCTTTTTACATAGCAGACTTATTTGGGACTGCTGTCTGCCTCATAGTCAAATGAAGCCTGGGAATGAAGGAGGGTACAGGAGAGGAAAGGAGATTAGTTCCAAGATTTTGACACATGAAACACTTCCGCCGATTTGGAGCCAATAGCACAAAGACCTTGGTATATTCCAGAAGGGATATAGATTTCCTTTTTTTTTTTTTAACTGGAGATGGACCTAAAATGATCAGAGAAAGCTGAGAATGAGAGCTCAGAAAGGGCTTTCTTGGCTTGAGAAAAAAGGGCACGAGGGCAAGGAAAGGCCATCTGTATTTCAGGGTCCAGGCCAGGGGGCCAATGAGAAGTGACAAGGCCACTGTGGGTGCTGTTTCTCAGGTCCTACTGCCAAAGGCTCCCATAGAAGGGACTGACATCTGGGGGCCTGAGAGGGAGGGTTAAATCATGCGGGCATCTGCATATTATCCATGTGTTTCAAACCTGCAGAAGCATGGGCAGAGACGGGGGGAGGGCCAAGAATGGCCATTGTTTAAGATCCCCTTCTAGGAGTTAAGATCCCCTTCTAGGAGTTTCACCCCCGCAAGTGGCTTTTTTTTTGCAATGTCAGCACTTAAAGGACAGCGGTGGAAAGGAGGAAAGCCTTGAAATTCCAGATTCCTGCACTGAGTGAGTCAAAGAGGGAGGACTCCTGTGGCCTCTGAGGAGCGTGGAATCCCTGTCTTCATCCCGGCTACTCAGGGCCAAGAGGGGTCCAGTTACACGCTCAAGTTGACAGCCTTCTCCCCCGTGCACACTTCCGCCAACACCACTCTCAGCATTCACAGAAAAAAGACCCCCTGCTCTCAGCCCCTGCCTTCACTGTGCGCGAAGAGCTCGCGTGCTCACAACTGCGCGTTTCTTGCCCCTGCTTTGCCTTGACCGCACTGGAGTCAGGCTTCCTTCCTCCCTCAGGCCCCTGAACTCGAGCTTGCCCCACATCTGAGCAAGCACTACACTGGGGAGCATGCACCATGCGTTTGTTCCCAAGTCCCTGGACCACAGAGATACATTTCTTGCCAAACCACGGGGGTCACGCGCTGGGTTTGCTCCCCCTCCTCGCCCCGCTATTGCTTACTTCCCTTCTATGTAGGAAAACAAAACACGCTGATGCGTGTTTGCTTCTGAGACGCTTGCAGATTTCTGCGATTAGACCGTTTTCTTTACAGTGAAAGTCTCTTCCTATTGTGTTCAAGTCCGGATTTGCTTTTATCCGCTGTCAGTGTGTAGCTAAGAATGCTCCCAGGTGAGAGCGGGCCCCCGGGGGAGAATGAAGCGTGGGCCCGGGCATTTGCCCTTCACTTCGGGAAATGCACAGCTCTCCTTCCAACTTCAACTTTCAGAGGTGAACGGATTTCTAGAAGAGGAGGTGCGAGCATTGCCCCGGGCAGACTAATTGCGGGTTGAAAACACCCTTGTGATCACCCCGGGGGCGAGGGGTGGGTTTGGGAACTTCGGTTCGAGCAGGGGACAGCGCAGGGACGGGGGCGGGGGTGCAGAAGTGGGAGGCGCTCGAGGCGTCACTGGAAGCCGCGCTTCCGCGGGCGAGCGGGAGCGGGGCAGGGCGGAGGGCGGTCCTGCCGCGTCCTCGCCCCAGGTCTGCGGAGGGGCCGCGGCGGCCGGAGCGGCGGCAGCGACGGCAGGAGAGCGGGACGGAGTTAGGACCGCTCGGAGCGGCCGGGTCCGGGGTGGTGGGGGCTTTGCGAGCCCCGCACCCGCCGGCGGCGGCGGAAGGTCTGCGTTTTGGGCGAAGCGCACGTGCCGCCCCTGCGCGGGCCGCGGCGTCCCCGGCTCGCTGCCCGGCTTGTCCCCTCGGCGGCCCGCGCTCGCTCTCCAGCTCGCGCCCGCCCCCGAGTTCGCCGCGCGCTCCTGCCCCGCGGGCCGGTCCGGGCAGCGCCGCGGGCGGGGCGGGGTCGGGACCGCAGCCCGGAAGCGCGGCGGGCGCGTGTCACCAAGCGGACTTGGGGCGCGTCGCGTCTCGCGGCTCCAGCGCCATGGGCAGCGGCGTCTCTGACTTGAGCGGTGGAATGCGCGAAGGGGCCCGGGCGACGCCGGCTCCGGAGGGTTTCTTGGCGCCAGTGCTAACTGTCCTGATTTACGCCCCTTCTGACTGAGCTCGACGTCTTCATCCGCAATAAAATGAAAGCGGTGCCAAGCGGGATAGAGCCGCCCGGCCGCCGGTTCTGATCCCGGGAATCAGAGAACCGTCCTGCGGCTTAAAAAAAAAAAAAAAGGGAAAAGGAAAAGGAAAAAGGAAAAAAAAAGGAAGAAAGAAAGAAAAAGAAAAAAAGAGAATCGAAATAGAAAAAAGGACACAACCCTCGGTAAAAGTTTCAGGCGAGAAGTGGAAGCGGCCGCGGCGCGAGGACGCGCGGGGCCGGCGGGCCGGGCGGCGGGCGAGACCCCCGGCTGCGATTCGGTCGTTAACGTCGCCGCGTCTGGAGGGAGACGCACCTTTCTCCTGCTCGCTTCCTCTCCGCCCACCCGCGCTCCCTCCCCCTGCCTACCTGTCGAAGTCGCTGATCTTTCGCATTTCGGAAGAGGACGTCAGCGGAGGAACCCCGGCTCCGAGGGGGCGGCGTGCGGGAGGCTCCCGGGGCCGAGGCGACGGTGACTAGCGGCGGGCGCGGGCGCGGGTCCGCAGGGTGCTCTCCCGCGGTCGGCCGGGCGCCACCGGTCCACCCCCGCCCCTCGCGCTCCGCCCGCGCCCGGGAGGAGGCTCCGCGGCAGCCGCCGCCGCCAGCCCGTGCCAGCCCGCGGGCTCCGCTGCCGCGGCCGCCGCCCGAGGCGGACCAGGCTGGGCAGGGCCGCCGCCCCGCGCCGTCGGCTCGGCGGCCGCCCGCGCCAGGCAAGCGGGCCACACGGTGAGTGCAGCCGGCGTCCCCTCCTCCAGCGACCCGCGCCACCCGGCTTTGCCCCTCTTCCCGGGGCGCCCCCGCCCCCCGGTGCGAGCCACAGGCGGAGGGAGGGCTGCGGGTGGGCGAGGAACTTTGGAAAGCGCCCCGAGGAGGCAGCGCGCGGAGCCACAGCCGCACGCCCGCGCGCGGGTCTTCCTCGGGGTGCGCCCGGCAGGGTGCGTGTCTGCCTGCCCGCCGGGCACTGGCCGGCTCCCCGCGCTCTCCCTCTCACGCACCTGGCCACGCACAACGCGCAGGAGGGTTGCTATTCTGTTTGATTTTGCCAGTTGTCTTTGCTTGGGGCGGGGGGCGGGCGTGGAACACTTGCCCTGTTGCTGGCCCCGTAGAGCTAGTTGCCACACCGGGAGCTTTGCGGTGCCCTTCTTTAATCTCCTTTATTGGTGTGAGATTACAGCGTTGCTAGCCCATGTTGTGCAGCTGGGGAGAAAGGGAAATTGCAAGAGGGAAAGACTTGGTGTAGGAAAGCTGGTCTGTTTTCTCAGATTCTTTACTGGCATCACATTCATCTGTTAATGGATTCGGCTAGGGACATCGAATTGCTCTCCTGTATGGTTCTGTGGATATCTATATATAATACAAATAATACTGAATATTATTGGGCCTAAAATAACCAATTAAGTGATTCATACAAGGGAAAACTTAGATTTAAAAAAGAAACTGCGCCCTCTGCTGTTTATTTTAGTAACCTCAGCCGGGGACCATTTTTTTCAGAAATCCGCTTAAGAGTAGGTTGTCATTTTATAGGGCAAGGGAGGAAAATTCCTAGCGGGGATTTTAAAGCAACTTTATTTGGAAAAGTTGCAGGTTGGGTTCCTATCGTTGCGTTAGGTATAGGTTTCCAGTGAGTAGGGGGTCCCCCGTTCCTCCTCCATTCTCCTAAACACAGGGAATAATAGAGCCACTCCTTATAACAAATTGTCAATCTTTGGAATGGAAAATTCTGAGTAAGATTCAGAATTCCACTAAACATATGGTGAATCTGGCAGTAGAGTTGCTCTAGAAATAAGGCCCTGTTTTATGACTGAAAATACTAAAAGTTTTTTTATATTACAGAAATGAAAAAAAATACCCAGAGAGATCTTACAATGAAATCATTTATTCAAATATGCTTAGTGGTTATGCTTGTTGGAAAGTTTTTCAAAAATCCCCTTTTTGGGGGGAAGTCTTTCTGATTGGTTTGGCCCTTGAGGAGCATCTCAAACCTGTGAGAGAATCAGCAGCCCCACATTTCATTAAGTATTTTGAACTGTGTCACTTTGAATGCCTTACCCGCCTCCCTTTCTCTTTGGCAAAGGAAAAGCAGCTCAGTAGCTGTCCAAGATTCTTTTTTGAAGATAAGCAACTTTCGGTTTTTCATTAAGATAAAATTTGGATCTCTGCATGTGCATCAGCATGCCAAGAAAAAAATGCATCAAGTATTTCACACGTAATGTTGTTCCAGCTTACACATGTAAGGGATATATTTACTTTTCTGGATGCCCTGAATTGAGATATATTCATTGCTAAAGACCAACATGAGGATATTCAGGATTCTATGTATTGGGCTATTAATTTGATGATATTTTCTATTGTGAAATTTAAGAGGGATAATCTTAAAAATTTTGTAAGGAAACAGTTTATTTGGACATAAAACTGTTTTCCTATTAAGATTTTTGTTTTGTCAGCTGTCACTGGGCATGTGTGTTAAAATGATTCACATTAGCTTTTTTAGGAGGAGGCTAATGTATTTTGCAGTTTCCTTTTGCATATTTGCAATTGGTACAAATACCTGTCTTTGCTTCTATTATTATTCTGAAAAACATCAGGTACCGTGTTAAAAAAGTTAAGCCATTACACATTTAGTTGATAGGTTTCTTAAGTGTTGCAAAAATTTGGAGAGAGTTTTAGAGTTACAAAAGCATCAAGTCTCTTGGAAAGAAGTAAAATTTCATCCAACTTAGAAAATCAATTGTATATTAACGTTGAAAAATATATGTGTATGAACTATGTTGTGTAATATAAGGGATTATATTAGTCAGTAAGGTCTTAGGTTAGTAAGAGGTTTAGCATACCTTTAAGAATAATTTTATTTTCAGAATCCGAAGTTTTGTTTCAAAACTTCAGGTGGGTGTAGGTTTTCTCGTTTGTGTATTTGAGACCTTGGATCTCTGAACTTCCCTGTATGAGAATGAAATATTTGTTGCTCATATGGTAATTAAACACCAGATTTCTTCCAGGCTTAACTGATTCTGAAATAATTTTATGTATTATTCCATTCCCAAACATCCTACAAAATATGTGCTCTCTAATATGTCTAATCTGTCTTCTCTCAGTGATAATAGAGATCTTTCAAATACTAAGGTGTGTTATTTGGTTTTATTAACATTTCATGATAGGCTGTTGCTCATAATACCCAATCAAGAAGGAGTAAGCTATGCCAATGATGTACATCTTCAATTTCTTGTATTTTGAGAGACAGTTAGCAAAAGGATAGAAGCATATGTTTCCCATTAAGATAATTAGAATATGCTTTCTTCACAACAAATAAGTGCAAAGAGCATTGAATACGTGTTAAAATATCTAATGTAATAAATTTCATCGTGACTGTGTTAGCAGCTGCTGATTTTGATAGGTTATAGAATTTTCATACCTTTATCTATTTATATTTTTCACTCAATGGTATATGGTTATAATCAATTTTCTTTTTGTTCTTTCCCATTCAGAAACATGCATATTTATAAAGTTCTTCATGTCTATGATGAATGAATCAATAGCTGTCTATTTCAGGTACCCCTGAAGAACCTGAATATTTATGAAGTAAATAGCCCACTCCCACCGCCTAGTGAGATTATGTAATAAAATGAATGCTGAAAGCCAACTAGATTAGGAGATTTACTGGCAGCATTTTCCTCTCAGTTGTTGAAATTGGCGATTGTTTTTGGGATATAATTGTCTATAATTTTAATCACTATTACTTCCATGTAATATTTTGAGAGGCTTTTTTTTTTTTCCTGGGGAGAAAAAGGGCCTATGAAATGCCTTCTGCAAAGTTAATCCAAAGTAGAAGAGAATTAGCTACAGAATCCTGGAAAATATACATGTTCTATGTATGCAAAGCCATTTTATAGCCCATTTTAGTCCTGATCAATAATACCTATCTACTTGAGAGCCATGACATAATTTTATCTTTTTTCATTGGCTCCATAAATTTATATGCCAGAGGTCTGTGGAGTACTCACAGCATGTTAATAGGTATTTTTATCAAAGAGGACTTCTCAGTACTTTAGTTTCCAGGTAGAGGTGATGGCATTATTTGATTACAGTGAGTTCCCGAGGTTTGCAAAGTCAAGAGCTAGAACTGGGGCTGCCCAGAGCTCTTCCGAAGCTGCTCTTATTTAGGTGACATGGACGCCTGAGACAAATTCAAAGGCCACATTACTTGGCAATTAGTTTAGTTACGGGCTGGAAGGGGTACGTTTAGTATATTAAGTCCCCAAATATGTCATTGACTGTCCTTCTCCTAATTGGTTTGCCTAGCTGTTTGCTGTGATGACCTAGCTTTTAAGAAGCTATTGATAATTTTAACCTGGTTGAAAGCTTAGCCAGATGGAACCCTTGCCATTAGGTAATGGAGGTTAAGGTGTAAATAATATTCTATTTTTCCATCATTTTTTTTTCTTCGAAAACTCTGTCATTATACTTTCATAGCAAATTCCTAATTTTCGCAGAGGCTTCTTTTCTGTTGTGTGTCGTGGAAGTTCGTAGATTTAATTTCTTACTATAAGAGGATTTTCTTTGAAGCGTATGTGGCACTGACAAGTAAGGGGACCCTGAAACGAAGGACACGTAGTGATGGCACAAACATAAAAATGAGAACGAAATCAAATAATTATGTTAAAGAGCAGCTTAGTGTCCCCCTGCTCCTGATCTGTAACATGCCGTGGTCAATATCTTTTTCTGTGTCAATGGGAGCTCATTAAACGTAAATTCTGCAGACTAACTGAGCCATGCCATATTAGTGCTTGCCAAAGCTTGACATTTTTAATGCATTAATAATATGTCTGTAATGTAATGGAAAACTATTAATCACAACTGGTTATGTGCCAGAAATTTAAGCTATAATTGGCTACTTCTTGTCAAGAATGTCTGTTGCGCAGTCCTGCAACTGCCTAATATTCAAATATCTTGCACTCCTCTGCATTTTTCCTTGTCAGTTCTCTAAATTCAATCAATGGTGTGGTCCATAATTCTGTGTAATGACCATCATTATAATTCTCGTATACTTTAATGAGAATTCGTTATAATGGGATTGCCGTTGTGTCAGGAGATGGTGACGGGTTCACACACATTTCCTTACCATCCAGATTTTTCACATACAAATGCATATAGTCACCCTTTATTTTGTGGTTACAGTAAGGCAAAATGTGAATGAGGACAGAGGACCCAGGAATAAATGGATAAGGGGAATATCATTTATTGGTTAGAAAAAGTGAAGACTAATCTCAGGAAGCACTCAAATACATATTTACAGTTATATTTTTAAAATAATATTAAAAATGAACACATAATGCTCACTCAGTTCAAACTCAAAGCAGTCCATTCCAGGTCTTAAAGATTGTATCATTCTTGATAAATAAACTACTGTATATATGAAACTAACAATCAGAATTAATAATTTCTTTTTTTTTTTATTTCAGCATATTATGGGGGTACAGATGTTTAGGTTACATATGTTGCCCTTGCCCCCACTCCAGTCCGAGTTTCAAATATGTCCATTCTTTGGGTGGTGCACATTGAGAATTAATAATTTCTGACGTAGTAGATTTTACATGCTACAGGTGTAATGCCCACTTCCTCCCTCGCCCTGGAAAGTGTTTATTTCCTCTTATAATAAAATAGTAAACAGTTGAAACATGCATCTAGGAAATGTAGATTTGTATCATTTTCACACCTTTTCAGATTATTACTTGTCAAATTGTTGGATGTTTCTGAAAATATCAACTTAAAATTACTAATGAATCTGAAAAAAGCATAAGGCTGTAGTAGCCCCAACACATGCTTCTCTGTGATTTTTTTCTTTTTAGCTTAAGATTTCAAAATGTGCTTAACATAGTATAGTCTTTAGGTTACAAGGAAAAGGCAGATTCAAATCTGTAGTTTATACATGTTTAGACAAACTGCTAATTATTGCTTCATAGAAACTCAAATATTCAACACTTTTCCTAATAGAAAATATCACAAATTGCAGCTGTATGATAACATTTTATGAATTGAATATAATGAAAATTGCACTTGCATCCATAAAGCAATTATTATAAATTACTTTGCTATGGAAACACAATTCAACCATCTGTTGGCATTTCATAGTCTCTGTGGCTTAGTTCATTTTAAGATGGTACATTATTTAAATATAATGAATTCCCTTCATAAGATTGTTTGAAGATAATGAACTTCCATATTTCAAGTGTTTAATGTGAATTGAAGGGTCTATGATGGAATTTTCCAAAACTGGGCTTTTTTGTCCCTTTTGAATTGTTTAAAAAATAGTTAATTTTGGGACTATGAATATGAATGAACTAATTAAGCAAATGCACTTTTTTTTAACTCCTAGTTTCCAAATATTAGTGTTTGTTTAGTTTGTTTAGATTTGGACAGTGATCTCTAAAGAGAAAAGTTGCCTGTTAAACTCACTAGTGATTTCGTACCCATAGTTAGATAGGCTGCTTTATCAGTTAACCAAAAGTACTTTTAAACAGTAATTTTTATTTTCTCTTTGAATTAGTGCCATATTATTCTGCTTCATGGCCTGTTAACTCACCCTCAGCTATTTTTATATGTGCATTTTAAATTGTGCGTTTTACTATGGAGTTTTTAGTTTTAAAGCAGTATAATATTCGCCTTTGGGACAAATTCTCTTCTGTTACAGAAAGTAACAACATATGCAGATGTAATGGCTATAAAAAGATGTAAGACAATAGAAAATTCTTATGAAAGGAAAATTTGCTCCTTTGGATTTATTTTTGAATATTTTTTTCAGAGAGCCAACTTATCTTTATCACTAAATGCTACTAAACAAAAGATGCTAAATTCTTCCAATATAATGAGCAAATCCACAGGGACAGACTCATGAAACCAATCCTGGTTTTCACTCCAGCTAACAAAAGCTAAGAAATATACAAGGAATTTGGAGATTTTTAGGGTCTCATTGCCAAGAGACAAAAGCCATACAAGTAGTTGTCATTCCTTTGTCATTGTTATGAAAGCGCTCATTTCCCCATTGTTCTCTTGGAAGATTTTCTAGCACTGCAACATATGAGAAATGTTTAAATCTAGCTGCTTGCTCTCAGTTTTGTCAAGATGGAAATATAATTTTTGAAGTGAAAATCTGTAACTCACCTGGAACACACGCATCTATCTTTGTTATGGAAGAGTTAAATCCTTCATATCGAAATTCTCCCCAACATGAATGATTTCTGTAGTTTGCTCATTCTAGCAAAGCAGCAGAGTAAAGGTTATCCATATTACACCAATTTGCTTTACATTGCATCAAACCTCCAAAATGTCAACATACCATACATTTCGTAATACATTGATTCTGGGACAATAACTCTTACTCTTATTGTTTCTAAAAGGGTATTGGTGCCGGAAGAAAAGAATGATTGACGGGAAACAGACACCGGGCTATAGACACTCATCCTTTCGCTTCGGATACTGACATCTCAGCGTGCCTGAGCATCCCCTGTGAGCTGAGCACATTGAGGATCGCTCAGGGTTGTCGGGTGAGCGACAACGGAAGAGCCACCACTTTGCTAGATTATTCTCTACAACTGGACATCTTTTACAGAAACCAAACTACACCCGAGTCTATTTAACAAATATGTTCTAGGACAAAGAAAGAGCTGCAAGTAGCTGTTACCGCCTAACACTCAAGTATGTTAGGCTTCCGCCAAAGTCCTCAGTATACCTGAACACGCACAGTATTCTAACCCTTCACATTTGCTTTTGGAATCTGCTTTGCGGTCCCATCCTCTTCTTTGTTTTTAATATACAGACCTACCTACATATAGACATATATATATATATGTCTCTGTAAAATAGAAACATCACAGACTGCTTTAGTTTCCTCGAAGATTATAAAGAATTTAGAGATGTATTTGTCAAGATTCCTCTCGATTCATGCCCTTTGGGTTACAGTGTCCTCAGTGATGCAGCCCTACCCTTTGGTGTGGGGACATTATGATGTGTGTAAGACTCAGATTTACACAGAAGAAGGGAAAGTTTGGGATTACATGGCCTGTCAACCGGAATCCACGGACATGACAAAATATCTGAAAGTGAAACTGGACCCTCCGGATATTACCTGTGGAGACCCTCCTGAGACATTCTGTGCAATGGTGAGGCAACCTTTTTCAATAGAGTATTTCATATAAATGGGGTCTAATTGCATATGCATACAAATGTGGTGAGCAAGAAGGCTTAATTTATGCAATGAGCTGGATCTGCAGGTGGCAGATTTGTGTTAACAGGCTAGCTGCATTCTCAGTGGAGGCTTGCACTGCCTGGAGTTCCAGTTCGCACTCTTGATTGATGCGCTGAAACTCACCTTCTGCTTCCTTGCAACTCAAAAGTTCCACTGAGGCAGGTGCACTACATATATTCTAAAAGAAAAAGTCCAGTTGAAGGTTAAATTTCAGAGTGGAGGCTGGGAATATGATTAGGACATATCTGTTATGTTAAGGATAAAATCGTTTGGCAAACCAACTTTAAAAACACACAGGTTTCTTAAAACCCATGTCTAAGGCCCGTCCCAAATTCCATAGTTTAGGCTAGATTAGATTTCATGACTTTCTTCATCAGGAAGCCACTACGATTTGGAAGTCCTGGTTAGGAGACGAGTCAGAAGAAAAGCAGAGGAGAGAGGGACTAAAAGCCTTGTGAGAGCTTTTGCGAGAAAAGTCTTATTTGCCTACTCACGCAACCCTTTATTTCAAGGGTCACAGTTTTCTATGGGTAAAGTGACCATTGGAGCATTGAAAATATATTTGCTGAAAAGTAATGAGTTGGGAGATATAAATTCAGATACTATCATTTGATAAGCAGAGTTACAGAATTTATTGTTCTCGTGGTGTATTAAATCTTTTTCTGGTGGAAAGTTAAATACTATGTGAAAAGTTAACGTTGGAGTGACATGTTGAATTTTCATGAAGTACATAGCTGAAAATATACCTATAAAATATTAGTAATGAGATTGGAGATTAAAATGTATAAATTAATGAGCTAAAGAATTCAGACAGTGGGTTTAGTTGGTTTATGTTGTTTTGTTTTTTTTTTATCATGGGTGGTCTTTATTTGATACAAGTACTGTGACCTCATTTTTCTCCACATAACAGATATAATTGTGTGGCAGATTTTAATAGTATTCTTACCTGACTTTATTATCTTGAACCTGGCCTGGCATTTTCAGGATAGTGAAACTATTAATCAAAGGAGCATCTGTTCACAGTCCCCAGTGAGTTAAATTAGCATAAGATCATCTTAGACCTAGCACTATAGAAAGAGTTTTGTACCAGGAAACAATTTTGAGCAATAAAGAATGTTTTCACCTGAAAGCTAAGGGCTTGCCATTTTTCAGAAGTGCCTTTGGGGACTGGTTTGAATTATAGTCTAAACCTGATTTTGTGGAGAGTGAGAAAAAGAGCTTGGCTATTAGGTGTCACTATGACGAAAGTGCCCTAAAAGACTAAATATTTCAGAGAGAGGACCCGTCTCTCTGGGAAACAGGTATGTGCTTTGCAAAGATGTTGCATTTTAGAAACCAGAGACTTTCAGAGAAGGAGTTTATTCAAACATTAGCAAAACTATAATATGTATGTAGAGGAGCAGAGGCATTTGTTGGCTTTATATAAGGTTTGTAATAATTTCTCAGAAAAGGTCAAATTTAAGATTTCATTGCAAATCTGGCTGAAGTTGCTGTTTGGGTTAGGTTGTGCAATCTTCCCTCCTTACAGCAGTCCGGGGCCAGTTTTTCATATTAAGAACACTCTAGCTCTATGTATCGCTCTATATGACACTTGTAACAATATGCCTCTTCTGGAGTTGTTTAATAATTTAAAGATCTTGGTGAAATAGCAAATATCTTTCTCAGGGAGCTTTTTTACCTCACATAGTCCCTGTGCAGTGTTTTTAAGGTGTGATTTGTATGTGCACCTTCCCTGATCTCAGCCTCTGGCCAGACAATGCTTGTTCAGTGCTGCTCCTGTCCCGTCATTTTGAAGGGTTTGCTTGGTGTCTTCAGCACGCCCCCTTCTCTCATCCATCCACTGCATATTACAGAACTTCCCATGCCTGCCTTTCAAAAAGACATGGTCTAAAGTCCTTAAGTCCATCCCTGCCAGTCCACTGGCTAAATGATGTCAGAGATCAAATGAGAAAAAAGAATTAAAATCATATCCTTCACCTTTCTCAAGACATGTATAACGTGTATGCTTTACAAGTTCACATGAAACTCCACGGGACAGTCTTTTAAAAGGCTGCATCTTAGTATGATAGAGACAGTCAGAAGCCTTGGTGGGTTTAAACTTGTCATTGAACACAGTGGTTTTTCAAGGGAGGGCGTAAGGTTTGTGAGATGTTACCCATCAATGCTTAGTTTGTGTTCCTTAATATGCATATCATTGGTATGACAGATTTAATAATCTGTCCTTTAAACGCACACTTTGGGACCATTCGTATGCGTATCACGTGCCAAGTCGATGATAATGGTCTAATATAGCAACACTTCCTCTCTGCAGTTTTGGATTTTCCGTGAAACTCTTCAGTGTGAGGGTTCCTGACACAAGGCTGTAAAACTGTCTCAGGATGCTGTCATATCAGACCTGTTTAGGTGCTCCTTAGTCCAAGGTCTAATGGGGATCCATAAACTCATTTGTGTTATGACTTACGTGTTCTTCCCTCCTTGACACCTGCGTCCATACCTGCTCCCTCGGAGTCGTTACGGCCTATCACATCAGGGCAGCTGCCACGCAAGCACAGCCCCTGTATGTAAATGTTTGCTGCAAAATGGTTTCACTAATCACTTCTTCAGCTAGCGACACCCTTATTAGCTGTGACTGTAGAGTTCTGAGCACCGAGGGGACATTTGGTGAGAGAAGTGCCCTACAATTTGCATAGCCAATTTCTTCAATATAAAGTTGAAGTTCATTGGCATTGAGTTAAGAGTCTGCACTGCTGCTTTTTGCATTTGCTTCATCATTATATGCCAGTGACTATCCATACATATTGCATTTATTTTAATATAAAATGAAATTTTAGGGAGAAAAGGAGCACGTGATTCCATTTTACAGTAGATCTCTGCTTATTAACTCAGATGACATACTTAATACATCTTCAGTGTAATTTTAAATTGCTCTATATTAATTGTATCAGTATTTATAAACAGTGGTTTTCCATAAACATGTATATGTATGTATGAGTTGTGTATATTGAAAACCATACATTTTCTTTTTAATTTAATACATTCTTTTAAAGTTGATGGTGGCTTAAAAAGACCTTTGTTTTTGTTAAGGGGGAAGAATCTGAGGGGGAGGGGAGGGTTAACCATACTTTTTTTAGGCTGGGATAACATATTTGTATAGACCCTATCCTTTCAGCCACATTAAAAGCTGCAGGTAGCATAGCTTTGTCCGGGAACACAGATCGTCTAGTGACTGCAGTTTGTTTCAATTTGCATAAAGAGCAGATAAGATGATCTGAACCTGCGTGTAAAGCTGAAGGGACAACACAAAGCTATGACTTGTTCTTTGTGTTTAGACAAACTTAGCTGTCATATCTCCATGTAACACCCCAGTGGCTTAAAAATGGCAAAATTATCTGCAATTATCTCTAGCCTGCAGCTCATTTTCTGGATAAGCTAAACAGAAGCTTTGAAAAGAAGCCTACAGACGGAAGAAGTCATGTGTGTTTGTACAATTTATGGCACAGAAGTGCTGATGACTGTAGAAATGGAAGCCCTTGAGTGCTGCTATGGATTTCAGAGCCAATCAAAACTAAATTAGAAAACAAAGATTATTAAAAAGTCTTCCGTGCATGTAATTTTGGCATAATGTTATGAGGTGGACATTAAATGTTTCCCTTGGAGACTGTCAGCATCATTAATGCAGCATGCCTTTAATTACAAGTAGACTCATATTACTAAAAAATTGGAGAAAATAAAGTACTCTGAGGTATAGTTAGCAATACTTTCATTATGTTTACTGAAATAATTAAAAGAAAGGGTGTAATTTTTCTAAATAAAATGTCAGAATTTGAAATGAAAATGGATTTTCTTTAAGAAATTCACTAATGTGTGCCTGTGCTCTCGATAGGCATTTATTCAAGTACCTTAGCAGGTCTACTAATGATCACTCCATATTGTGCTATTTCTAGATAGGCTCCTATTAAGAAAAGAACTTTAATTATTGTAAGCACTGTGGATAGAGCATATTTCATTATGTTCAAATGTAATTTATGAAAATGGTAGAAAGCTGCCTTGTTTTATGATTTCAGAGGAACACCATGGGATGGGTGAGTGGTAATGCATAGTCTCAGCGCTATCCATAACTTAAATTTCCGATTTGACATCAGATCAGGTTGCCATCTGGTGGCTATCAGGTGGCTTTTGAGAAATTAATTTAATAAACTCAGTTACATTTTCAATGACATGGAATTAATATCAATTTTCCAAAAACTGGGAATGACGTTGACTTATATAATGATCAACTAATCTTAAAAATACACTCTGTTCACGTGAAACAAAATTCAGTAAATGAATGAAGTTTTAATAACGTCTTTCATTTGAACTGATTTATCCCTTAATTATGCCAGACTGGAATTTTTTTTAAAAAAACTTCAGTTCTTTCATTAACACTTCATTGTTATTAGTTCATTATTTAGACTTACTTCTTAGAAAAGTTTAAGTCATATTTGTAATGAATTAAATTGTAAGAAATCAGTTTTTCTGATTATGTCACTATATCAAGTATTTCTTTGTTGAGGAGCCTACAATATTTCCTTATTATCTGTTGCATCAAGTCTAAAGTATTTTACCTGCTTTTTAAATTTGGGTGCATGCCACCCTATTTCCCAATACTTCCTATCAGGACCCTAGGGCATCTCCAGGGGATTTAAGGCTGGCAGTCTGATTGGAAGGGGACTACTGGATTTGGGTTGAAGCTTCATTGGCACAGCGTGCACAGCTTATGGGGGAGGCCTTGGGAAGGAGCTGATAAAGATTATGGCGGGGCTAGCAAAAACCTAAAAGCACCTCATGTCATTTATTGTTTCCACTATTCCCTGTGTGTACAAGTATTGTCTTTGTTGCTCTAATGCTTCCCAAATATTGCAGACTACTGTGTGC